GAGACAATAGAGGAGAGTTCTCGGAGCAAAATCAAAGCCATTTCCCAATTTGAGAGGTTATTTTCACAGCTCCACATCTCTTCCCTGCCAGCGCTCACAGAGCCCGTCCCAGCCCCTGTGTGCCCAGCTCTGCCCTGCAGCCTCTGTGTGTGTGTGCGGGGGCTGACCAGCAGCTCACACAAACCCCCAGGAAACTGGAAAGGTGGTGCTGGTTTTAGCTGTAGGCTGGAGGGGGGGGAAGGCACTTGCTGAGGTTCCCAGTAAACCCCAGGGTGACGGTTTAGGAGTCTCAACCCCTTCTCTAACTGCACAGCTGAGCTGCCATTCCCACCAAGCCGAGCCAGGGGAAAGTGGAAGCAGAGGTTTGGGAAAGCAGAGACTCAAGCAGGAAACCTGCCCTGATCGTACTCATGAAACGTCCCCTCAGAAATGACCCGGGCATGAGCTGGATCCCTATTGGCTAAACCCCAGGGTGACGGTTTAGGAGTCTCAACCCCTTCTCTAACTGCACAGCTGAGCTGCCATTCCCACCAAGCCGAGCCAGGGGAAAGTGGAAGCAGAGGTTTGGGAAAGCAGAGACTCAAGCAGGAAACCTGCCCTGATCGTACTCATGAAACGTCCCCTCAGAAATGACCCGGGCATGAGCTGGATCCCTATTGGCTGTGCATTTCTTGTTTCATTCCATCTTTTGGTATTTCTGAGACGATTGCTGTGGTGTTTCCCACCTTGGGTAGCAACTCCATTAAGCACATCGTTCTCTTTCCTTACTCGTAGTGTCCTGCCATTCCCCATATTCTTATCTTGTGTGAGACACTGGCCCACAAGTGTGAAATGCTGAGATGTTGGAGCTTCAGACCACAGGGACCTTGATACACGTTGGCACTTAGTCAACAGAAAACTCCTGAAGTTTTACAAGGCAAAGGGGACAAGTCAGCACTGGGGGCAGAATAACCTCATACACCAGGACAGGCTGTCACCTGACTGAAGAGTGCCCTGGGCAGAAGGGCATGGGAGTTATGATGGATGCCATATGAGCCGGTGGGTTTCCCATTGTGAAAGGAAGATGCTTTGATGAACTTTGATGCTGGTCTGAAAACAGTCATGATTTTTTCATAGGCCGTGGAAATGAACCAGTGATGTGAAGTCATCTTCTCTCCTGTGTAAACAGAAATTTGTAGTTCTGGTCCTGTTTGACTGGTAGCGTTGGAGTTCACTCAAGCAGCTCCTTATTTCATTCCTACCCTCCCCCGGCTCTTTTCCTCCAGAGTCCTCCCTTGAGGCACGAAGGCTTAGGAGAACTTGTTGATGAAATATGAAGCAAAGAGGACATGAAGTATCTCAGATCTATCTCCACCTACTCACTAAATTCAGCTCTGACCACATATTAGCTTCATTTCTTCTTCAACTGTTCCTGAAGAAGTGACAGCTTGTTAAGACTCCCTGGAATTCCCTTTCAAGTTTCAACGGAGTTTTGATAGAGATGATGGCTGTGCTTGGTGGACGCTCTCCTTGAACACCAGAGCTATTCACCTTTGCTGCCTATCAATGCTGCTGACCTTGGGATCCCCACTAAAACTCCCCACAATAAGCCAAAGTCTGCTCTACTGATAACCAGCATCTGCAATCTTCTATCCTGCTTCCTCACTCCTCTCGGGAGGTGGGACTCCACTATTTCAGAGTCACAACAGCCTCCGTGATCAGCTTTTCCTTGTTTGCAAGTACCAGATCCAGATTTGACTGACCCTGGGTGGCCCATCTGGCACCTGTGCTAAGAAGTTCTCCCACAACACTCAAGAATCCACCTGGACTGTTTGCCTGCTGCTGTGTTCCTCTTCCAGAAGATGCCAGGGATATTAAAGTCCTCAGTGAGGGCCAAGCTTCTACATGGAGCCTTCCTTGGGGTGCTTAGAAAAGATTATGCCCACTGCCCCACCCTGGAGAAGATAATCTGAAGGATGGAACACCTCTCCTATGAAGACTAGTTGATCTAGGGGAAGGTGTCCCTTCCCATGGCAGGGGGGTTGGAACTAGATGATCTTGAAGGTCCCTTCCAACCCAAACCATTCTATGATTCTATACTTGCTATAATCAATTTCTTGATTTTTTTAAAAAAACTTTTTTTCACCTACTAAGCTGTCTCTACCTTGACCCACAACTTGTCACTATTTACTTCTTGTCGGAGGATATCTAAGGGTTAATGGACACGTGAACAATCCAGCCTTTCCTGATGACGTATGCTGGAATGCGGAAGAGCTACAGAGCTGCGGGGAGATGTGGACAACCCCGGGATGCAGAACAGAAAATGGACACTATAGTGACGCTGCTTCCTTCAGTACAACCAATCACACTAAGGTGGGCTATTTGCTTGCAAGGTTATAAAACACGCTGACTGTAAATAAAGATAGGTTCACTTGTTTGATCACATTGATCATGTCAGGTGTCCTCTTTCATCTCCCGCAATTGGCGCTCAGAGTAGGGACACTCAGATTCCTCACGGCAAAGTTGCGAGACTTGGCGAGGAAGAGGGTGAAAGGCTGGTTGAATGATCCGCTGCCCCGGCGGAATGAACGGTGACCTGCATAGTCACTGAGTGGAAAAAGGTGCACCTCGTTCTAGTCGTTGGATTGACACTGGAATCTTGCCTAGGAGGATAGGTGAGTGGCGGGGAGACAGGTGGGGTTGGATAAGCAACAAGAGGCTGTCCTAAATCTGCTCCAACATATGCTCTCTGTGAGAAAATTTAAATACGAATCCTCGGCTCTTAAAGGACAGCTATTGTGGGCTTGGAACAGAGACTTGATCCCCACAGTAGGAGTCGCTTTTGAACTCTCTACGTGGGAAGCCATAGGTAGAGAGCTATGGGATGACATCAGCTCGGGGGGAGCGGGTGCGAAGGAGGCGAATAAATATGCTACCCTGTGGAAGTTAATTAAAGAAACGTTGCATACCATGGAAGTCGAACGAACTGTCGCTGCTGCTGCTTTCGCTGCCTTCGCTCCTTCTTCTACTGATTCTTTACCGACATCTACGAACACTTCCTCTATCTTTTCTACGCGAATTTCTGTGCCTCTAGCACCACCCTTGCCTTCTGCTACCAAGGTAGAAACCGCGGATTCGGGAGAAAAAAGGGCCCCTAAAGGGACCACCCCCTTAGAAGACGAACTGCGCCCCAATGGCGGCAGCCAAGATGGCGTCAGCCAAGATGGTGGCAACCAAAATGGCGACAGCACATTTGTTCAACAAAGGGTCCTGGAAGAGAAGGCGGAAGAACTACAAAGGGACGTGGAAATAGGTGGACCGTCTTGTCGACCTAAGTCCTGCCTCTATCCTGACCTCACAGAGCCCCACCCACAGCTCTGCCCACAGATCTGCCCACAGGTCCGCCCAGAGCCCCGCCCACAGCTCCGTCCTGGGCTCTGTTCAGAGCTTCACCCAGGGGAGGAACCCATGCCCCCGCTAATTTCATTGGGAGAACAACAGAAAAAAGAACTTTTTGAAGAAGTCTTGCAACGTTATGGACAAGCTGTCAGAGTTGAAGTAATCAGATGCCGATGACAACAATAATCCACAATATTCTTCAGATACTACAGTCCACAATACACCTAATCCTTTTTCTATGCCTTTGTCACCACCGATGCCTCTGCAACACCTATCTGTGCCGACTGCCCCACCGCCCTTTGTGCCACCAGACGAACAAGAGCGAAGCAGAAGATGGAAGGGAGTTATTCATGAAGCCTTATTCGAAGGATATTTTTTGCCATCTGCCTTTCGCATTATCACAGACCATGGGGGAAATAGAAAGTGGGAACTTTTTGACTGGAAAATTTTAGAAAAGACGTGTTCTGCGGTATCACAATATGGGCTTCAATTCAGTTATACTCAACAACTGTTACAATTTATTTTCGCAGCAGATGTGCTGTTGCCACATGATTCTCAACAAGTTGCTAAAATTCTTTTGTCCCCTTCTCAGCAGCTTTTGTTCTCCAGGGCCTGGCAGCAACTATGTGAACGTGAAGCTGCAGGACCTCGGCAGCAGGGAGACTCTCTATATGGCATTCAAACGCAAATGCTGATGGGCCAAGGTCACGACATTACAACAAGGCTTTCTGGCAGAAGTATTGCAGTTGTCTCAGCAATTAGCTTATCAAGCAATGATTTCAATTAGAGAACTGGGGAAAGTATATTCCTTTGCAAATATTAAACAAGGCCCCCAGGAAAGTTTTCCTTCCTTTATTGATTGTTTACATCAGGCTGTTCGAAGTCATCCTGATTTAGACGAGACAATGAAGGAACAAGTCTTTAAAATGTTTGCCATCGAGAATGCCAATGATAAAGCAAAAAGGGTCATAAGCACATTACCTAGAGATGTCCAAGTGGCAGATATGTTAGAAGTTATAGAATGCACCACCGGTCCTGCATCTCTAGTTGCTGCTGCGGTATATGGTGCTGTTCGTCCTCTGTTAGAGAAAAAAAGGGGGAGGAGCCAAACAAAAGAAATGCGTCAATTGTGGGAAATTAGGCCACTACAGAAACCAATGTAAACAGCCACAACAACAGCAGCAACGGGGTAGCAGGAAATGGTGCAAAAATTGCAAAATGGATAATCATAATATCTGGTGCAGGGAAACTGGAAACCGAGCGCGCCAGCCCCGTGCGCGATGATAGTAAATCAGGGGGCAACACCATTATCAAGCCTGAATTTAAACTAGAGCCAAAGTCAGGAATTTGTTCCTTCCGTGCCGCCACCGCAGGAAGCACCGGAGTGGATGTGGAAACCACAGTAGATTCAACACTCATATCTGT